CAAAACCTATTTCACTTTACTGCAACTCTTGTCCAAAAAGTTTCGTCCAAACCAATTTTAGTTTCCTGATTTGGTGCATTACTTCCAAATTCGTGTTCAGAATTGGAAGAAAGTGGTTCGTATCGTCTCATACGTTTGTTTGTGATATCTATTCATTTACTAACGTACTTGATCGATCTGTATTGTCTTTATCACGAAATTTTCCCATTTCTACAGTCGATAATAGCACTGCCTTGTGGATTGTTTTGTTTATCTAAAAATTCACCGTCACTATCATATATATCAAATTCTAGGTCCAAATATTTCAGAGATCCGCTGATTGTATTTTCCAAACAAGCTAAAAAAACATTGTTTCCATTCTTTTTCGAAGACTGACAGTCGCTATAAAAATAAGTCGAGACCATGGCAGTTTTCTCGTTTATAGTTTTTTTTTACTCAAGAATATATTTTTGAAAATTTGTGTCCACCCGAATGTTACTTACTTGTATCAGTGTACAAAAATAATAAATAATTATACTTGAAGAAAATCACTTTGAATAAGATTTTATTTAGTGTGTTGAACAAAGCTCGAAACAATTGTTTTGTTGGTAAAAATTTTGTAATACTTCAGCAATCTGCATTTTTATAATGTACAAAAGAATAAAGAATAAATAATATATATTGTCGTCGAGAAGAGAGTAGGCGATAAACGCATACGATCTATGGCTATTGTTATTTCGGTTCTTTTATCAAACATTTTCTATAGAAACTTGCACCAGTCATTTTGACTGGTGCTGGTACAAGTAGTAGTAACACTATTTATTTTTGTTACTAATATATATAAAGTAACTTTGAATGCACAAAATGATTTCTATACTTGTAACTTAAAAAGTCATAACTTCATTTCACAAAACAAATTTTACATATAATGGGAATTTTGAATTGAAAGTGCCCAACCAGTCATTTTGACTGGCGTGGTATATCTAGTGTTAAATTCGGCGGTGTTTCTGGTGTTAATAAGTTTGTTAATGACTACAGAATACTGTAACGCAGTGGTTTCCAACCTTTTCTTCCTTGCGCCCCCCTTTCGAAAGAAAAAAATATTGCGCCCCCATCATAGAATAATAATTAACACGACATTAAAAAAATTTAATGCGACGGTTGAGCTTGTTTTTTAGCAAATCATCATATTTCTCAATGACAAATGGATCCATTTGTATTTGGACATATCTAGATCTTTAAAGTAATGCGAAAATTGGTTCCTTAGACTAGTCTTATGATTGATAATAAGATCTTCACTTACTTCTATTTCATCAGTAACACAAGTAATTTTAAAGGTGTGAAACATGTCAAAGTTATTAGTTTTTATACTAGCTATCCACAGTTATATTTTTTTCATAAAAGCCGTAATCTTGTCTTTCTGAACAAAAGCATGAATTTGAGAACCTTTCATTGATTTATTTAAATTGCTTAGACTTTGAAAAATATCACTTCACTCAAAAAGTCCGTAGGATAACTAAGAAAAACCTTTTTTTTGGCATTTTTTTTTATTCAATATAGTTTCCTTCGAAGACGATATATCGATTATAGTGAACTTCGAACTTTTCTAACCCATTTTTGTAGTAGGATTTGTACTTAGCTACAAAATACGGCAATCATCTCATCATTTGCTAAACATTTCTTCAGAGCGAGCATTTTTTTGAGATCTGAAAACAGTATATAGTCGCTGGGGAACAGATCTAGAAAATATAGTGAGTGGGGTAGTGATTCGAAGTCGAATCATTTTTTTGATTCGATTCGAATTCATTTTTTTGGCCACTGTTTTCACAGAGTTGTGACTTGGTGCTTTGTCCTGATGGAGCAGCACGGTTTTCTTTTTCAAACGAGGCCGTTTTTCCGATTTTGATTTTCAAATGTTCCAATAACGTTATAGAATTTTCCAGATAGTTGATGAAGATCATTTCTTGCATATCCCAAAAAAACTGACGCGATAACTTTGCTAACTGATTGGTTGCATTTTTTTCTCGTCATCGTCTCTAGTCCACTCGGCTAACTGTCTATTCGACTCCGGGGTGTAGTGTTGAAGCCAGGTCATATCCATGGTGACATATTGATGCAAAAACTCAGTTTTATTTCGATTAGACAGCTCCAAATACTCTTAGGGGCATCCATTAATTACGTGAGGTTTTTAGGGGGAGGGGGGGGTCTGACAAAAAATCACGAAATATCACGTGGGAAGAGGGGTATAGTAAGATATTGCGTGTATTTATTTTTTAACTGAGTTTTTAAAAAAAAAAATAAAAAATTTTCAAAAAAAATATAAAAATTACAGTTTTATCACGTAACTAAAAATACACGTGATGTTTGGTGGGGGAGGGGGGGTAATTTTGAATATCACCATGTATCACCAAAGGGTAGGGGGCTCCAAAAATCCTTAAAAACTCGCTCACGTGATTAATGGTTGCCCCCACGAATTATCAACCCGATATGTTTTTGGTCCAACGTGAGTTTGCGCGGCACCCATTTAGCACAGAGGTTTTTTCTATTCAAATATTCGTGAACGATATATTCATCACGTTCTATTAATATCTTTAGGGTGTCAGCTATCTCAGGAAATTTTACTTTTTGGTTTTCCAAAACGTTTTGGTGGACGTATTTGATATTTTCCGGTGTAACCACCTCAATTGACATTCCAGAGCGTTCAGCATCGTCAGTGCCTGCTGTATGGCCGCTTAAAATCAGCAAACCACTTTTCCACCTTTGCCTCGATTTGGCACAGTCCAGATAACACTTATCAAGCGATACTTTGACAGCAAAGGTTTTTATACTCATCAAAAAACAATGATGAATCAACCCACGAAATTGCTTTGAATTCATGGTTTCGAAAAACTCAAAAGTAGCGTCACTTGAACCTCTGTAACATGTAAACTAATCGTCCGATCGTCATGAAATTTTGACATATATTTTCTTAAAGTTGTTTCTTTCTACAAATCATATGAATGATTACATAGCTACATTATATATATGTTATACTACGGACTTATTGAGTGATGGGTTCTTAACTGAATACGCCAATTTTGCGAAGAACTTAGTGTCCTAATACAAACCTGCTTCATCTCTTTTGTTATCAGCAAGAAATATGGCAATTTCTTTTTTGACCCCTATCACTCTTTGAAATACTTTAGCACGTGAAAACCAACGTGCTTCACAATAATAAAGTACATTTTAAAGCGCATTTGTCCTGACAAAATTACAGCGAAAATTGTAAATTTCTTGCACATATTTTGCTGATTTGTTTTTGACATTTACTCAGCATTTAAAATTAATATTTTTAAAACAGCTTCGCGCCCCCATGGAACTATTCAACTTCTTATATTTTTATGATTTTTATAAAACTAAATAAATGTTTAAAATTATATCAAAGTATTATTTTATAATTAGCCATATTTTTAACTTCCCGAAGGAGAAGTTTGTTTTCATAAAAAACTCCGTTTCTCTAATTTTATGTTTTCTCGACGTTTTAAGCCATTCTGAATCTAATGAGACCAAATTTAGAAAAAGTATGTGTGTGTGTGTGTGTATGTAAGTAAACAGATTTTGCCGTAAATCGACGTTTTTTCAAAAACGGCTGGATCGATTTCAAAAATTTAAAAGCCATTCGATGTATCTCGATGAGGACTAGCGTTTATCAACTTTGCGCGACGATCAGCCAAGAAAAATATTGGTTGGGAATCGTGCTGATTAGTTGTTGGTAAAGATAGGCCGGGCCGTTTTCTTGTAAGTGTTAAATATTTTTTTTTGACGATTTTCATGATTTTTTGACGGTAGATACTATAATCTTATAGATCATACTAAAATATTACGGCCCTACGACAAGTCGATTAATTTTAAAAATTCTTCAAAGTTTGTATCGTTCTTTTGGCATTTGTCAAAATTAGACCTTTGATCGACATTTTCTCAAAAACGCCTGAGCCGATTTCAGAAATTTAAAAGCCATTTGATGTATCTCAATGAGGACTATCGTTTGGTTGTGAGACGATCTGCCGAGCCGTTTCTTTAAAACTTGAGAAAAAGTGTTAAACTTTTCGTCCATATTTAAGCTCATACTACCGAATCGATTTTAAAAAATCAAAAACTATTCGAAAGATATTAGTTGGGAATGATACTGATTAGTTTTAGGTGAAAATCTACCGAGCCGTTTTCTTGTAATCAACTGTTGAAAAACAAATTTAAGCTGATTTTTATGGAACTTTTTTTGCGATATATATCATGGTCTTATAGAACTTACTGAAATATTACAGCCTTACGACAAGTAGTTTAATTTTTAAAATTCATCAAAGTTTGAGAAAATAAGTAGTTTTTTGACGTTAGTTAAAATTAAATTAGACGGTTTAGTTGGTATAACGATAGAGTACTTGGTCTTAATGAACATACTAAATCATTAAAGTTCTACGAAAACTGGTTCAATTATAAAAATTATTGATTTTATTACTCATAAATTATTATTTTTAATTGATTAAGTCGATTATTTGCACATATCGGGAAGTTCATGTAACTTACCTCAAGTTAAAATACGAATACCAACTAGTTTATAACTTATTCAACTATATTTATCAAAAATGTATGCTTCGAGCGCTATCAGGGAATAATGCACATTGACTCCCAGCATTATGTTCACGAGCCGAATTTTATCACGGAATTAGGGACAAACGCGTGGTTCAGCAAAATGCCGATTATTTCTATAAATGAAATTCTACTTGCAGAATTTTGGTCTATAATGATGTTATAAGTCTAATTTATAGAATAGAACAGTTTTAGCTCGTTCACTTTCCTACTTTTTTACAAATCATCTTTAAAGTCAAACGTTCCTTAACATCCTATAATATGGTACATTAACTATAGTTATAAAAAAACTTAAGTTTTCCACTGAATTCTGGTCTCGATTGGACTGAAACTTATGGATTAATAAAGCTGAATTCATAATTGCTTTAGTTATTATATGAAAAATTTACATGTTTCAGATTGATATTTGGGCAGCAGGTGTAATTTTATATATTCTCTTATGTGGATTTCCTCCCTTTGTGAGCCAAGACAATGATCAAGACCAACTATTCGATGCAATATTATCGGGCCAGTTTGATTTTCCAGAACCTTATTGGAATGACGTTGGAGAACTTGTTCGCGATTTGATAGAGAATATGCTACAAAGTGATCCTGAAACACGATACTCCAGTGAAAATGTATTAGAGCATGAGTGGTTGCGATTGTGTTAGTAGTAATTAAAAGTGTAGATCATAGGGAATGTGTAAAAACATTTTTAATTATGTTGAGGCACTACTAGACTGATATGTGTTTCACTTTTTTATATTGAATTTTTATAGGTAAGCTATTTATTTTAATTTCATTGTGTAATACATTACCAAAGGCTTTGGGAACATCTATTGCTTAAGACATTATATTTTAAAAATTTAGTATAATTTTAATAATATAATTTTATTAAATAATGATAAAGGAAAATAATTATATGAATACAAAACATATGTAATATATACAAATATTTATGCTTAAAATATAGTATTTATATTTTGTCATGTATATACTGTTCATTAACATTACAGATAATACAATTTTGCAACCATTATTGTACTAAAAAATATTTTGACAATTCCAAGTATAAATGTAATGAAACAATAATACAATGTCTGTCTTATTGGAAAATTAGTTTTAACTTTACATATGATTTTAATAAGTTAATATTATCTGTAGTACTGGTTTTGACTCCAATTATGACTTGCTCATGGTGCAATATAAGTTTGATCATAAGATCGTGTCTGATTTGTTGGCGGTGGTGGTTGTGTATATTGCTGATTGGCATTTGGTGGTTGACTATATTGATTATATGTGCCATAATAAGGTGGTTGTGTACTAATATGAGGAGGAGGAACTGACATACTAAATATAATTTAGTTAAATGTAATTACTATAAATGTAATGAAACAATAATACAATGTCTGTCTTATTGGAAAATTAGTTTTAACTTTACATATGATTTTAATAAGTTAATATTATCTGTAGTACTGGTTTTGACTCCAATTATGACTTGCTTGTGGTGCAATATAAGTTTGATCATAAGATCGTGTCTGATTTGTTGGCGGTGGTGGTTGTGTATATTGCTGATTGGCATTTGGTGGTTGACTATATTGATTATATGTGCCATAATAAGGTGGTTGTGTACTAATATGAGGAGGAGGAACTGACATACTATGCATTGGTGGAATATGGGGTAAAGTATTAATAATTGGTGGTATATTTTGCATAGAAGCAATTGGGGCAATGTTGGGTGGTGGTAAATTATTATATGTATTACTGTAATTGGATACTGGATTAAAATGCTGTACAGAATAATTAGTCCCTTGTGTCTCATTCAAATTAGTTGTATTCACATTGGTTGGTGCGTTAGTATCTTGTATTGGTACTGTTATAAGATTTGTGCGCATTGGTGTTGATGATATCATGGGATAAGAATTTCTTTGACGGTTCTCTGTTTGCGAAGCTGGGTTAATATTTGATGGATGCACCCTAGTGTCAGACTTCCTTAAAATCTGCGGAGGCTTTGCTTCTATAGGAGCAGGCAGCTTAATATGAATATTAGTAGTTTCTTGTGCAGAATGGGTAACAGACACTGATGAATTAATATGCCTGTGATTGATGTGTGCCTGTAAATCACGCTGTGAAAGGTATGTTCTTCTGCAACCAGTATTTCCATACCTCGTTCCACCATATGTACACATGAAGACTGTTCCTAAGCCAGTTTGCTCAACTCGACAAACTTTATCATGGCACCTAGGACAAGTCTTTGGTTCTGCCTTAGCACATTTCAGGCAAAATATATGTTTACATGGTATCATACGACCGTAGATTAAAATTGGTTTATTGCACTGATCACATGTATGAATCATAGGATTCAATACTTTTTCACCTTGAAGACTTACTTTGTGATCCCATTGCAACCGTAACATTGGTTCTGGAGGACCTCTTTGAATCGTGGTAAAAGTAGGAGCTTCAAGTTGTGAAATATCTGCTTCTAAATCAATTTTGGGCGCCACGTTTTCATTGTTTTCGACTTCTTGCTGTTCCTGAGGATCAGATTCACTAACAACTGTAGGAGCATCTTGTGTGATTTGCTCTGAAGGAGATTGTTCTTCTATTGATTCTTCATCTGATGAAATTACTTTTGAAGCTTTGCGTCCCCTGCCTCTGCCACGACCTCGCGCACGACCTCTACCACGGCCCCTTCCCCTACTGCTTCTACCACGCTTAGAGCCTTCTTCGCTTACCATATTCAATTACAGATGCTAAGGTTTACAATCAGAAGACACAAATGTAAATACGATTAAATAAAATTTTGTTAAAGTTTGAAATCACTGTTTTGCTGAATGAAGTTCATCCTTCCACGTCAATGTCAGCGATACAAACACAAATTGAAGGTACAATAACAATTAAATTATATATAATATAAAATGATGAAATTTATTATGTACTGTCTAACAAAATAATTCATTCAGTCATTTTGACAGATCATAACAAAGCAAGCCATACACTTCTTTACTTAGATACTTTAGAGAATACCTCGCGCATAGATAAAAGCATAGATACAAGAGGAGTATATAGATCGCTCTTTCGGGCCATATTTCGTTGCCACGTTGCCACATTCCTGTGTTAGTTGAAGCCCCTCTCTACAGAGGGCACTAGTCGCCTGAACGGGTGCATATAAAAAATACTATAAAAATGAACCAAAATCATATAGAGTATATAGAATATAGATCGCTCTTTCGGGCCATACTTTGTTGCCACATTCCTGTGTTAGTTGAAGCCCCTCTATACAGAGGGCACTAGTCGCCTGAACGGGTGCGTATAAAAAATACTATAAAAATGAACCAAAATTATATGGACCGTTTTAATTTAAAATTTAAAAAAAGAAAAATTGAAAAATAAAGAAAATTAAATTTTTAGAAGCATTTATTTTTCACAAAAACATTCTACATTATATCTACATAGTAGTTTTATTTATAAACAATGCACACATAGCATAGAAATGTACATAATTAAATTAATTAAATGTACATAAATATCTACAATGTATATATATATATATATATATATATATATATATATATATATATGATTTAGTAGTTAATTTTGATGTTGAAATATATGAGTGAGTTCTTGAGGGCGATACATCAAACAAAGAAAATGCAAAGATTTATAAAATAATCTCTAATTTCAAACGTTTCGACATTCAATTTAATGTCATCATCAGTGGATCTAAAAACAGTATAAAAATTAATATAACTATTCATTATAAAATATGTGGATTGGTATAAAAGCTATAGATATAAGAAAAAAATTAACAGAACAGCAACACTTAACAACAAACAGAATATAAAAGAGAGAAAAGGTAATAGAATCTAGATATTAAATAAATAAAGAGGAAAAAAGAATATATATATAAATATATACACATACATATACATACATATACATACATATATATATACATACACATATACATATAAATACACAAACACATTGAATGTGTAAGGTTAGGTAAGGTTAGGTAGTAAGCGGTATTCACTATGTGCGAAAAGCATAAAAATATACATAAATGTTCACGCTATCTACAATGTATATATATATATATATATATATATATATATATATATATATATATATATATATATATATATATTTATATGTAACATCGTATATGATTACAATAAATGGTAGTAAGGTTTATAAACTATGTACGAAAATGAATATATATTAGTTGAAAAAATAATAATGTACAGAAATATGATAATATTATCAAAATGAAAATGATAAAAATAAATGAGTGGATAATCTAATAGGATATTAAAAATGTATTTTATGTTGTATTTATATGTAACATCATATATGATTACAATAAATGGTAGTAAGTATCTATGGGTAGTAAGCATAGATGCATAAGCATAAATCGCTATCTCGGGCGATTTGACGTTACACCCATTTTAATTTACGAATTGATCACAACATGGCAGCACATGTACATACAGTTAACCCCTGGTATTACTTCTACATTAGTACATATAATCAATATAGCCAAAAAATCTGAAAAAGATTTAATATTTGAAATAAAAACAAAACATACGAAATACAAAATATATTTTCAAATATATCACAGACATATTTTTGAAGAATTATATAAAATTATTATATAAACTAAACATAAATTTTGCTATCTAATCAATCATTAATAAAGTTAAATTTGACGAAATCTTTGAATAGTTTCTGTATAAGTGTTTTTTTAAACGTAAGTAACCAAAATCTTGAACTACTTTTAATTTATACCAATTGTAGCTCAAACCTATCTATCGATTTAATCCAGTTTTTATTGCAAGGAGGTTTAGTTAAAACTATAACTAAACTCTTGCTTTTTATAAACTGCCTGGTCTTTGTGTATGTTCTCTTAATTGAGACCATATCAAAATTCTTGCCCTTACATTTTACGTTTCCGGAATATTTGAAAACTTCTCAGAACATTGTATACTCTGTTGGAATTTATCCTTCAAATTATTGCATTGTTTGTTAATCCTTTTTAATCCCGGAACAAAAATTGATGTATCATACATCTTCTGGGTGTTAAAGCACTCCTACACCTTATTACTGCATTCTGCAGCAATTTGCAACTACCACCAAAGACTTCTATTCAATATATTGTTATATCATATTTGATTAATTAATTATTTTTGCTGCAATTATTACGAAAAAATACCTTTGCGGAAAACTGGTATCAGAATAGGTGACTCTTAACCTGCACTCATCCTGCATTTTACAAGGTTTTTAGGCTTTCATCTCCTAACTAAGGACATAAGATTCATTTATTAATATTTTTTTGCAACTGGATTAAAGTATTTAGAGTTATAATTATTTGGCCTCGTCCTTAGAGCTGCAGATTGTTCTCCTGGTCTGCTTAAGAGCATTCTTCAGTGACCTGAGAACTATTCTGTGATTGCCGTAAAAGAGACACTTCTAATTGGTTTCGATTTCAAATTATCTTTGATTTTTGCCACAAACCAAAGAGTTTGTGGCAAACTCATCTATTAAAGGATTATTCACCTTCCGCACCCAAATTGAAAGCATCTAGAACATTTTAATAATATTTTCATGATACATATTTATTATATGCATAATACATCATTATATACATACCGAAAAGACATACATGTTTCTAATATTTTTGGAGTTATCACAATTTGGCACATTACACTTTACCATTTTAACTTAATAATAAATAAAAAAAGTATTCACCAAAACATAATTATATATAAACAATCACATAAAAAAAAGAGTGCGCGTAAGGATCACACGCGATTGAAGTAAAACTTTTAATATTGTATGAGTAGGCAATTAAGATAAAAATAAAAAAACATCATATTTGAATTTTAAAAATCATCTTTTAATAATCATATAACATCAATAATAATAAGATCTCCTGAGCATCGGCACAGCTGTCCTACTGATATTAAGAGTTTGAATATGATGTGAAGCTTTCTTCCTAATTTTGTTACCTATCTTACCGGGAAATTCAAACCATAAACGTAGAAGTTCATCATTATCGCCACGTTCTATGTACACTAATTTTCCCACACAACCATTAGCTAAGCCATCACTTACATCAATATTAGTTGTTATAATGTAAAATTTATTCAGAACTAAAATTATTTCATACGGCAAACCCCCGGTATCAATAACCGATTTTTGTGAAACTGCTGACGAATGTATGATTGTTGATCTGTCGCATGGCAACCTACATAAATATCCGTGGCAGTAGATATTATTTTGTCTTCAACGAGATTCAGTATAAATTTATTATATTCCATGATACATTTATTCTCTAAGAAAAGTCTTATTCCATGAGGACATAATACAGCAACCTCTTCTTTTGTAAAAAAACGTGATTCAATTAATGCAAGTTCATATAGGGTTTAGCGCTCGACTTACGCATGACATGACGGGAGTGGATACTCGCGACATCAGCGCTTACGGCGTCGTAGTGTTCAACTACACGTTGGCATTTTCGTTGCATTTGTACGGATTTACACCCGTGTCGCGCCTAAAAATTTTTACACCCATATCGCGCCTAAAGAAGTTTTACTTCAACAAGTATAACATACATATCTTTACTTATCTATGATAACATAACTCAACTACAGCACGCGATGACAACTTATAGAAAATGGCGATCAAATCAATGTAGATCAAGCTAGATCAATGAAATTGTAAATCGTAGCGCCATCTTTCGATCAATTCGAATGCCAATCCATTTCAAAACACGGTAATCTACATTTGTTCGGAGATTACCGGCCAGAGGAACCGTGTACCCAGAGTGCCGTGTAAAGCGAGGGTCTACTGCATAGATAAATAAGCATAAAAGTCTACTGTAACGTCAAATTGCCAGATATACCGATCTATTCATGCTTATTTATCTATGGTCAGTGATTGCACCATAGATAAGTATACATAAATAGATCGCTATCTCAGACCATTTGACATTACCTCCATTTTAATTTTTACAGCGATCTGAAGGAGGCAGCACTTGTACAGTATATAAATTAACCGCTGGTATTATTCTTAGATATGGTTCGCATACGTAATTTAAAATAAGAAAACCTAAATAATTTCTTATATTGGAAATGAGAAAAAAAAACATACAAAATACAAAATATAGTTTCAAATATATTACAAAAATTTTTACATGACAATTAAATTTTTTATAAATGTATTAATTACAAAATAATAAGTATTATAATTTTGCAATTATAAGTAACTTAAAAAAAGTATTCACAATGGAATGATAAATGTACAAGAAAAAATAAATATAAATTACTTATTGATCAACAATATATAACAACTGCACAGAGATTGTGTAGGAGCATTTACAATAAATTGATAAACTTAAAAGGAACGATCGATATGAATTACTCAATGATTAACAATATATAATAATTATTATATATTGTTGATCATTAAGTAATTCATATCGATCGTTCGATATGAATTACCTAATGATCAACAATATATAACAACTACACAGAGATTGTGTAGGAGCATTTACAATAAAATGATAAACTTAAAAGAAATGATCAATATTAATTACTTAATGATCAACAATATATAACAGCTACACATAAATATTGTAAAAGCTTTCATAAGTATAATGAATTTACACGAACTGACTTATATTAATTTCTTAATTACTTATAATAATATATTAAAAAGATAAAAACTCAGAAGAGAAAAGTAAAGAGTTTAAGTATATAGAGTATATACTATAGATAATGAAATAGTATATATAAAAGAAATGACAAATGATGAACAAATTCAAAAGTAAATCCCACAGACATAAAATATATATATATATATATTCATAGATAAGTAAACATAATATATATATCGATATATATTGATATCATAATCAGTATATATTGATATCAAAATTGATAGAAAACTAAATTCCAAGAATTAAAATTCATTTATGAGTCATTCTTCTTTAACATTATCTTTGCATTTGATAGTTATTTTGCTTTCTAATCAATCATTACTAAAGCTGCATTCTACAAATTCTTAAATTTCTTATGATACGATTGTGTCAATAGAACAGTGCAGCGGTCCTTTTGACTGGCTTGTAGGCCTGTTAATTGAAGCAATATAACATTTCTTGTCCTTACATTTATTGTTTCCGGAATTTTAGGAGTATTTCTGAGCATTTTATACTCTGTTGCAATTTATACCTTAAATTATTGCATTGTTAGTCTATCCTTCTTAACTCCCTCAACATATAATGGATGTGTCATACATTTTACATGCCCTTGGTGTCAAGACACTCCTATGCTTAGTCACTACATTCTGCAGAAATTTGTATTCTCAAGAACATCTAATAAACATAACATGTTGTAATATAATATCAAGTCGTAATAGCATGTGGTATTTTAATTTTCAGAATTATTATAACTCTTTCCACTGGAGTTGCAGAGTGTTCTCTTTCTTATCAGATTGTCTTTCTCTTCTTATATTACTATGAAATATAGACATGAGAACTATTCTTTGAAATATACTTGGATATTTCTAATATGTTCACTTCATAAAGCCGGAAAGAAGTGCTTTTTTATATTATTTCTGAAGTTACCACAAGTTGGTGCGTTCCATTTTGCCAGATTAAATTTTACATAAATGTTTACTTGAATACAATTAATTACAGAAACAACACGCGAACCACAAACTTTGATAGAAAATGGCAAGAAAATTTTGAAACTGGTAGCGACATCTTTTTATCGCTAAAAATAGTAGTCTTTCCAATACAGGGTAATATCATAGACCTTATATACATATTATATATATATATATATATATATATATATATATATATATATTTATATACATATATATATATATATATATATAATATGTATTATAATATACATGTATTGTATAATTATATTATATTATATTATACATGCTATATAATTATATTATATTATATTATATATTATACTCTTCTTTTATCTATGTATACATGTATTGTATAAGGTCTATGGGTAATATACATTTGTTCGGAGATAACTCCCCATAGATTGCACATCGAACGTACCCGTCCATTATGTTTATTTATCTATGCATTAAACATTTCAAATGTTGGCGGTATTGTCTCATGACATTTTGTGAAGTTTATAGTGGGCGCATTAATGCCATTTGTTTTAAGCTAATTCAATTAATAGACTGCTATTTTTATTTTTGGACAAGGAAAACGGTGACTTGCATTTAAAATAATGGACGAATTGTTGTCCATCACAGGCCACCTAAAAAGATCAAATTTTGCTTCAACAGTTTTTAGAAAAGGTTGTAATAAAGTTAAAATGTTTATTTGAAAATTAGTAACTATAAATTATATTTTAGAACAAAAAAACATTTAGTTTTCCTTATCTTTATGAAAATGAAGTAGGTCAAAAGGTTTGGAATGTTTTATTTACAAACATAAATAACCTGTCATGTATTTCCATGCAACAAGTATGTCTAGCAGTTGTAAGGACATTAAGGTATAATTCTTTTCATAATATAATCAATATATAAAATCTAAATGTTTTCTTCTTTCAAAACAAATATTTATTAAATTTTACATTTATAAATATTTTGTATGTTTCAGGCACATTGCATATCTCCCTCTTCAGAAGCTGTTAAAAACATACAAAATTAATTTTATAATTTTATGCCCTTTTCAAATTATTTAGTGCCTGAAAAATTTCACTTTTTACCTTCGAAACATTGGAATAAAAAAACATGAATCATTCACTAAAATTAAATTATTTAATTCCTAAATTTTTTAATTTATATTAGTGAATTTAAGTTTTCTTAAATACAATATAAAAATAGTGAAGGTAATTAAAAATAGTATAAATGCATAAGAAAAATTTTGTTTGATTTCTAACAGTTCCTGACGAAGTCAACATTCCACATCCTCGAACAGAAAACATTTATAAATAAAAAATAAATTTTTAAAAAAGGAGATTTAGTTCAGAAAATAAAATTATAAATAATATTATAATATTAGAATGCAAATATTATAGAAAAAAATCACAGAAAATATATATATATATATATATATATATATATATATATATATAATAAAATTGTTTCTTGGGCATCCATCCAGTAATTAAAAAACAGTTTTAATGAAAAATGTTTTTATTTTAAAAACATACGTTTCGGTCTTGATTTGACCCATCTTCAGTGCATACAAATAAATTTTGAAAAACAACACAAAACACAAAATTGCACGAAAAATAAATAAAAGTGAAATAAAAAATTGATGAAACGTACAGTTATGAAAAATTTAAAAAATTGTAAAATTAAAATAAATGATATATTTTATTATAAAAAAGCTTATTCCAAACGAACATGTTGTACGTTTCATCAATTTTTTATTTCACTTTTATTTATTTTTTGTGCAATTTTGCGTTTTTGTGTTGTTTTTCAAAATTTATTTGTATGCACTGAAGATGGGTCAAATCAAGACCCGAAACGTATGTTCTTAAAATAAAACATTTTTCATTAAAACTGTTTTTTAATTACTGGATGGATGCCCAAGAAAAAAACAATTTTATTATATTATTTCACCATCTGAAGAAAAACCTCTCGCTTTATATATATATATATATATATATATATATATATATATATATATATATGATTTAGTAGTTAAATATATATAGATTTAGTAGTTTAGATATATATATATATATATATATTGAATGGTAGAGTCTTGGATTTGTGTATATTTTGTAGAGTTTCGAACAAGAATCCAAAAATAATACAAAATAAAAAACAAGAAAAGTTTTTAAAAAAACAATTTCTTTATTTAATTATTTGTTTATTGTCGACGTTTCGGAACTAGGTACGTTCCATCTTCAGGACATCTGTCAAGAAACATGATCTTGATGAGATTTTAGCAAACAATATGTTTAGGAAAAGAAAATAGATTTTTTCTTAAATAATGAATTAAATTGTAAAAAATATAATAATGTACAGAATATGATAATATGTTCAAATAAAAATGATAAAATAAATGAGTGGATTATCAGAACAGGATATTAAACATAATAGAAAAATTTTTTTGAAAGTTATGGAAATTTTTTTTTTAAGAAAAGGTTAATGACAAAGTTGAATTAATTACCTGTATGTTTGAATATTTGTTAGCACTTTTTCACTAAACAAGCTTTTTTAAACAAAAATGATTTTTGAGTTAATTTTCCGCCGAATAATTAGATTTTGTAAATCAAAATTACTAAAAAATTTGTCTTTTTTAAAATTATTATTTGAAAACACAAATAATATTGTTCTCTGGATGTTGTTCGATTGGTTTTCGAAAATTAACTAAATGAAACTGGTGTGCCTTTTGTAACACGTGTAAACACTTGAACGAGAGATGTGAGATTGTATGTGTGTGTTTTTATATGTCAGGGTGTGAATACTTAAATTGTTGATCTTAAAAGGAAGTCGATATTAATTGTTTGTCAAAAAGTGTAAAAAATTTAAATATGAATCATGTAATAGGTTGTGATCTGATCTAATGTTGACACTGTTAGAAACATTTATGAGGATGAGACAACTCTCCGCGAATAACCTTCTAAAGATGCAACTTTCGTGATATAAAATCTTTGGAGTGAAATTAAATGAATGGGCGTTTTCTATAGAGTGTTGTACTAGGGTACTTTTGAAATTTTTTTGTTTATGGTGGACCACACTTAGTTCATGTTGTCTCATTCTCTTGTGTACATATTGGGAGGTTTGTCCAATATATTGAAAAGCACAGTCATTACAAGAAACAGAATATACTACATTAGTATTGAGATTGGATGGGGTGGGGGATTTAATGTTCGTAAAGAATTGGTTGAAGGAGTGTAAGGATGAGCCTGATACTAAAATGTTTCTTCTAACAAAATTTTGGCAAAATAATAATATAAATCTTCAACGTATGGTATGCTGCAGTAAATAAGATTGGTGTTTTTTGATGTTAGTAACTAACTACTACTACTAACATCAAAAACAAACCAATCTTATTTACTGCAGCATACCATACTTGAAGATTTATATTATTATTTTGCCAAAATTTTGTTAGAAGAAAACTTTTAGTATCAGGCTCATCCTTACACTCCTTCAACCAATTCTTTACGAACATTAAATCCCCCACCCCATCCAATCTCAATACTAATGTAGTATATTCTGTTTCTTGTAATGACTGTGCTTTTCAATATATTGGACAAACCTCCCAATATGTACACAAGAGAATGAGACAACATGAACTAAGTGTGGTCCACCATAAACAAAAAAATTTCAAAAGTACCCTAGTACAACAACTCTATAGAAAACGCCCATTCATTTAATTTCACTCCAAAGATTTTATATCACGAAAGTTGCATCTTTAGAAGGTTATTCGCGGAGAGTTGTCTCATCCTCATAAATGTTTTCTAACAGTGTCAACATTAGATCAGATCACAACCTATTACATGATTCATATTTAAATTTTTACACTTTTTGACAACAATTAATATCGACTTCCTTTTAAGATCAACAATTTAAGTATTCACACCCTGACATATAAAAAACACACACATACAATCTCACATCTCTCGTTCAAGTGTTTACACGTGTTACAAAAGGCACACCAGTTTCATTTAGTTAATTTTCGAAAACCAATCGAACAACATCCAGAGAAAATATTATTTGTGTTTTCAAATAATAATTTTAAAAAAGACAAATTTTTTAGTAATTTTGATTTACAAAATCTAATTATTCGGCGGAAAATTAACTCAAAAATCATTTTTTTTGTTAAAAAAGCTTGTTTAGTGAAAAAGTGCTAACAAATATTCAAACATACAGGTAATTAATTCAACTTTGTCATTAACCTTTTCTTAAAAAAAAAAATTTCCATAACTTTCAAAAAAATTTTTCTATTATGTTTAATATCCTGTTCTGATAATCCACTCATTTATTTTTATCATTTTTATTTTGAACATATTATCATATTTCTGTACATTATTATATTTTTACAATTTAATTCATTATTTAAGAAAAAATCTATTTTCTTTCCTAAACATATTGTTTGCTAAAATCTCATCAAGATCATGTTTCTTGACAGATGTCCTGAAGATGGAACGTACCTAGTTCCGAAACGTCGACAATAAACAAATAATTAAATAAAGAATTGTTTTTTTAAAAACTTTTCTTGTTTTTATTTTGTATTATTTTGGATTCTTGTTCGAAACTCTACAAAATATATATATATATATATATATATATGTGTAGAATTATATTATATATATATAATATATATATTATATATATATATATTATTATATATGATGATAGTTTTGTCGACGTTGATACGTATTTGTAATATTTTTGCAGCCCAACCGTCGAATTAAAAAAAGATTAAATAACAAAATTATTTATTCCATTAAACGTTTTGACACTTGATGTGTGTCATCATTCAGTAATCTAAAACAACATTAACATAAATACACAGTTGATGATAAATATAATATATAAAAGGAGGAAATTATTTATACCAAACCAGGAAAAAAAACAGAAACATTAATTATGATGTAAAATTGATTGTACACTAAATTTGTGTAAAATAATAAAATACTATTATATTAACAACGAGAAATAGGAGGAGCAAATATTGCCTTCCTATATTTTATGTTATTGATAGCATCGCATTGTGGGCACTGTTCAAGGTTAAAAGTACAACGCAGTGTAGACGCGCACGTGTAATGGAAGATCGGGAGAGAGTTGCGAGAAACGAAAGGGGAAAAGAAACAAAGAAGAATTAACGAACGAAAGATTCTAAAACTGTATGAATTACTTTTCATGAATTAATGACTACTTTGCAACTGTCATGTAAGAGATGAGAGGAATTACGTTTGTTCACACAAGAAGTATTAAGGGATATAAGTAAAGATTCAACTATCTTCTAAGGTCACAATTTTTTTCAATGTAAAGGATTGAAGGATTTGACATGTTAAAAGTGTGGTTCAGGTTTATCATATGTTCAGAGAGCATCGTTCTGAATTGATTTGGGTTTCTGGAATTATATAATATGTTGATTAACCCTCTTGTATATATATTGGGAAGTTTCACCAATGTAACAACTATTGCAATCATTGCAGTCCAACCTGTGAACAGAATCAGTAGCCCTATCAGCGGGAGTTTTTCGATTTAGAGAAGAAAAAAGCAATGGAAAGTGTTATCAAAACTGAAAACCAAAAGAAAACCTTCAGCGCCAAATAACTTTTTAAAAATAAGAAAAACTTTGAAAAGGGTAACAAATAACACCTTTATATTTATCTAAAAGAAAGAATTAAATTTAAAAAAGAATTGTTAAGATAGGAAAACTGTTTAAATTGTTTTGTAAAACTCTAATTTATTTTTAATGACGTTATTACTCCTTATCCTTCAATATTTAGTTAATAAGTCATAAAAATAGATTAGAGTTTTTACAAACAATTTAAACAGTTCTTCCTATCTAACAATTCTT